ACAGAGCTAAGCGATCCCACAACCAATGGATCAGATCTAAGTAAAAACCAAAAGAACTGCTGATGCTGTAAATCAGGAACAAAAACAAAGTTTCTGGAAAAGCTCAGCAGGTCTGGCAGCATCTGTGAAGGAGAAAACAGAGTTACTGTTTCAGGTCCGGTGACCCTTCCTGGTGTTGGATCAAATCTAAGCTCTGCAGTCCTGCCACATCAAGTCGTGAATGGTAGTGGACAATTAAACAACTCACTGGAGGAGGCTGCACAAATATCCCCACCCTCAATGACGGGAGATCCCAGCATATCAATGCAAAAGATAAGGCTGAAGCATTCGCAGCAATCTTCTGTCAGAAGTGCCAAGTGGATGATCCATCTCAGCCTCCTTCAGTGGTCCCCAGCATTACAGATACCAGTCTTCAGCCAATTCGATTCACTCCCTTTGGAGGCACTGGATACTGCAAAGGCAATGGACCCCAAAAGCATTCTGGCAATAGGACTGAAGATTTGTGCTCCAGAACTTGCCGTTCCCCTAGCCAAGCTGTTCCAGTACAGTTACAACACTGGCATCTACCCGACAATGTGTAAAAATTGCCCAGGTATGTCCTGCACACCAAAGCAGGACAAATCCAACCTGGCCAAATCCTGCCCCATCAGTCTCCTCTCGATTATCAGTAAAGTGTTGGAAGGTGTCCTCAACAGTGCTATCTAGCAGCACCTGCTCAGCAACGCCCAGTTTGGATTCTGCCAGGGCCCCTCAGCTCCTGACCCCATTACAGCCTTGGTTCAAACATGGACAAAAGAGCTGAATTCCAGAGGTGAGGTGATAGTGACAGCCTTTGACATCAAGGCTGCTTTCGACTGAGTATGGCATCAAGGGGCCCTCGCAAAACTGGAATCAATGGGCATCGGGGGCAAACTCTCTGCTGGTTGGTGTCATACCTGACACATAGGAAGATGGTCGTGGTTGTTGGAGGTCAGAAATCTCAGCTCCAGGACATCTCTGCAGGAGTTCCTCAGAGTAGTGTCCTAGGCCCAGCCATCTTCAGCTGCTTCATCAATGACCTTCCCTCCATCATAATGTCAGAAATGGGGATGTTCGCCGATGATTGCACAATCTTCAGCACCATTCGCAACTCCTCAGACACTGAAGCAGTCCATGTTCAAATGCAACAAGAACTGGACAATATCCAGGCTTAGGCTGACAAGTGGCAAGTGACATTCACAGTCTCAAATGCCAGGCAATGATCATCTCCAACAGGAGATAATCTAACCACCGTTCCTTGACATCCAATGGTGTTGTATTGCTGAATCCCACACTATCAACATCCTGGGGATTACCATTGACTGGAAACTCAACTAGACATGTCGCATGAATACAGTGGCTACAAGAGCAGGTCAGGGGTTAGGAATAGTGCAGACAGTAACTCATCTCCTGACTCCCCAAAGGCTGTCCATTATCTACAAGATACAAGTTAGGAGTGTGATGGAATACTCCCCACTTGCCCTGGAGTGCAGCCCCAACAACACTCAAGAAATTTGACACCATTCAGGACAAAGCAGCCCGATTGATTAGCACCACATCCACAAACATCCACTCCCTTCACCACTGATGCAGTGTGTACTATCTACAAAATGCTCTGCAGAAATTCATCGAGGCTTCTTAGATAGCACCTTCCAAACCCACAACCACTAGAAAGACATGGGCAACACCACCACCTGCAAGTTCCCCTTCAAGCCACTCACCATCCTGACTTGGAAATGTATCTCTATTCCTTCAGTTTCGCTGGGTCAAAATCCTGGAATTCTCTTCCGAACGACACAGTTGGTCTACATACAGCACATGGACTGCAGTGATAACAGAAGGCAGCTTCTGAAGGATAAGTAAGGACTGGCAATAAATGCTGGGCAGCCATCTGCACAAATGTAACCATTTCAGGTCAAGTGACCCTTCTTCAGAACAGCAAGATTCAAATCTGCAGGAAGAGCTATCAATAGATTTTGTAACCACTCAACCATAACTACAGTGTGAAGTGTTGCTAAAATGTTAAAATAAGAGATGGCTCAGACTTCAATGTTGAGTGAGATCCACAAACGTCTGACCTGCAGAAATAAGTGGATTCACATCTCTTGGAGGGAAGAAATTGACACCGTCTGCGTGTGTGTGCATGTGAGAGAGAGTGTGAGTGCATGTGTGCAAGAGAGAGTGAGCGTATGTGTGTGTGAGAGTGCGTGTGTATGTGTGACTGTGTATGAGAGTGAGAGTGTGTGCATGATTGTGTGTGTGACAGTGAGTGTGTGTGAGCGTGAGACTGCGTGTAAGAGAGCGAGTGTGTGTGTGTATGGGAGACTGTGTGCGTGTGAGTGTGTGTTCTCTCATCAGCTCCACTCTCAAACTGTCTCCAAAATTTCAGTTTTTCAGAAGAGCAGAAATGGGAAACGGAGGGATGGACGAACACAGAGACCAAAAAAGTGAAAAAGGCTGAGGTGGAAGCACAGAGACGAAGAGGAACAGATTGAGAGACAGAGAAAGGAACAAATACCCTTCATCATTCCTTATTGCTCGCAGAAATGGAAAGGAACACAAACAAACATTTAAACTGAGCCTTTCACCACCTCAGAACAACGGAAGCAACCAATGACATTAAAGTTTACTCACTTTTGAAATCTTATGACAGAGAGGTTGATAAAAATGCTGATTCAATGTTTCCAAGTGCTCTCAATCTGGGCTGTTTCTCATTACAAAACCATTCTCTCCATGTGCCTCAGCAACCTCGTAGAAGTTTATAGAATAATGAGGGGTATAATAGAGTTATTGGTAGTTGTCTTTTCCCTAGGAAGGGGGGATTTCAAGACTAGGGGCACATTTTTAAAGTGAGAGGAGAGAGATTTACAAAAGACTCCAGAGGCAATTTTGTTTTTACACAGAGGGTGGTTCGCGTGTGGAATGAACTTCCTGAGGAAGTGGTGGCTGCGGGTACAATTACGACGTTTAAAAGACATTTGGATAGGTACATGGATAGGAAAGGTTTGCAGGGATATACCTGTTGCCTGCCAGTTTAACACAGCACCCTGTTCCCTGGCCAACATCTCTGTCTCTGGACAAAAACCAAAAGAACTGCGGATGCTGTAAATCAGGAACAAAAACAAGGTTGCTGGAAAAGCTCAGCAGGTCACTGGACCCGAAACGTTAACTCTGGTTTTTCCTACACAGATGCCGCCAATACCTACTGAGGTTTTCCAACAACTTTGTTTTTGTTGCAGGGATATGGGCCAGGAGCAGGCAGGTGGGACTAGTTTAGTTCGTTATGGACTGGTTGGTCTGAAGGGTCTGTTTCCGTGCTGTATGATTATGTGTCTGTTATTTTTACCAATCGACCACACAGCGTCAGTTTAAACTGTTGCTCAGTAATTTTTTTTGGCAAAAATATATTTAATTCGTAAATTACCCACAAGTGAGGACAAAGGTCTGAAACATTTCAGTCCAAACTTTGCAGAAAATACAATTGCTCACAAAAAAAGTTTTTTTTTAATAAAAACATAAGGAAATTATTCTCAATTCTATTAAATCTGTATCAATCTCCCTCTATATTGGAACGGACTGTCACTGAGTCACCAGAAGGTTCCCCATTCATAAACTAATGAATGAAAGCGGCGCGCTCCGGACGGGGCATGCGCGGTGGTGGTCCTACCCCCGCCTCCCAGCCACCTTGGCGCATGCGCAGGGAGGCCGCCGCTGCCGCGTTGTAACGTCCGCTCGTGTCGGCTCTGCAAACGGTGAGGGAGAGAAAATAAAATCGACCGCCCGGAAGGTAACGGAGTGGGATGGGAGGCTTCGTGAGTAGTCAAAAAAGACCTCCAGTCCCTTTCCCAACTACCCCTCACCCGCCAGAGTCGCTCGCGGGGTTAGACCCCGAGCAGTAGCTGCGGAGCCACGTGCCCCTCTCCGGGTCCCCCTGGCTGCCGCCATCTTTGTGGGGGGCAATGGGCGGCAGGGCGCATGCGCGGACGCCCCAGGCCGTTGGTCATAAACATTGAAATAGATTTTGCTCAGATGAAGTCTCATCTGGACTCAAAATTTCATCTTGTTCTCCTTCTGGGGATGCTGCAATGACCTACTGTTTGATCTCCAGCATGTTTCTTTTCTCACTGCAAACAGAGCCTTTGGTCCAACAAGTCCACGCCGTCCACCATCCCAAACCCACCTGCCTGCTCCTAGCCCATATCCCTCCAAACCTTTCCTATCCATGTACTTATGCAAATGTCTTTTAAACGTTGTAACTGTACCCCGCATCCACCACTTCCTCTGGAAGTTCGTTCCGCACACCAACCACTCTCTGTGTAAAAAGAAAAGTTGCCCCTTGTGTCTTTTTAAAATCTTTCTCTCTCCTTAAAAATGTATCCCCTAGTCTTAAAATCCCCCACCCTCGGGAAGAGACACCTGCCATTCACCCTACCATGCCCCTCATGATTTTATAAACTTCTATAAGGTCACCTCTCAACCTCCGACGTGCAAATGAAAAACAAAATTCCCAGCCTATCCAGTTTATCCCTATAACTCAAACCCTTCATTCCTGGTAAATGTCTTCTGAACCCTCTCCATTAATTATAATATCCTTCCTACAGCAACCTCCTCGGGTCCAGTGGAAAAAAAAAGTCCCAGCCTCTCCCCATAACTCAAAACCTCCATTTCCCAGCAACATCCTGTAACGTCTGTGATAAACATTAGTGAACCTGTTGGGTTTTTAATGACAGTCTTTCAGGACGTTTAAATTTTCAAATGCTCAATTTCACGACCTGTCCTTTGTGTTCCTTGTGAGTTCGCTTTCTAATTCTCCTTTCTCTCTCCGTCCTGTTTGAAGCCAGTTTCACGGGGTCCTGGCAAGGGAAGGATTGACTGACAGTCGGGAATTTTGAAAGGAGGGTCGAGAGTTTTGGAAATGAAAGGAAGGAACGCCGCTGCGGGCGGGCGATCGCCTGCTCCATCGAGGCGCAAGCTCGGCCAAGCCGGAAAGAAACCGTGGAAATGTGGAGACTGCGGGAAGGGGTTCGGTTACCCGTCCCAGCTGGAAGTTCACCGGCGAAGCCACAACGGCGAGAAGCCGTTCGCTTGTGCGGATTGCGGGAGGGCATTCGCTCAGTTATCCAGCCTGCTGAAACACCAGCAGATTCACACCGGGGATAAGCCGTTCGCTTGTGCCGAGTGCGGGAAGGGATTCGCCCGTCCCTTCGGCCTGGTGAAACACCAGCGGGTCCACACCGGGGAGAAGCCGTTCTCCTGCTCCGAGTGCGGGAAGCGGTTCACTCAGTCGTCCAACCTGATCTCGCACCAGCGGGTCCACACCGGGGAGAGACCGTACACTTGCTCCGAGTGCGGGAGGGGCTTCACTCAGTCTTCCTACCTGCTCATCCACCGGCGGGTTCACTCCGGGGAGAGACCGTACACCTGCAGCGTGTGCGGCAAAGGGTTCTCTCAGACGTCTCACCTCCTCAGGCACCAGCAGGTTCACACCGATGAGAGGCCTTTCAAATGCCAGGACTGCGGGAAACGCTACAAAGGCTCCGGGGAACTGAAATCCCATCAACGCAGACATCACGCCGACAAGAGACCGATCAGGTGCAATTTTTTCTCTCTCTCTCTCTCTCTCTCTCTCTATTCATTTCTGGGAATGTGGACTTCTGGGCCCAGCAATTTCTTTCCCACCCCCCCCCCCCCCTTGAGAAGGTGGGGGTGAGCTGCCTTCTTGAGCTGCAGCGGGTTGACCCACAATGTTGCTCAGGGAGGGAATTCCGAGATTTTGACCCAGTGACAGTGGTACATATTCCCAAATCAGGATGGTGAGTAGCTTAGAGGGGAACTCGGAGGTGGGGGTGTTCCCATATGTCTGGTGCCCCTTGTACTTCTAGATGGAAATGGGTCGTGGGTTTTGGAAGGTGCTGTCTGAGGATCTTTGGTGAATTTCTGCAGGGCATCTTGTAGATAGTACACACTACTGCTACTGAGCATCCGTGGTGGAGGGAGTGAATGCTTGTGGATGTGGTGCCAATCAAGCGGGCTGCTTTGTTCTGGATGGTGTCAAATTTCTTGTGTTGTTGGGGTTGCATTCATCCAGGCAAATGGGGACTATTCCATCACAGTCCTGACTTGTGCCTTGTAGATGGCGGATAGGATTTGAGGAGTCAGGAGGTGAGTTACTCGTGCAATATTCCTAGCTTCTGGCCTGCTCTTGTAGCCACTGTATTAATGTGGTGAGTCCAGTTGAGCTTCTGGTCAATGTTAACCCCCAGGATGTTGATAGTGGAGGATTCAGTGATGGTAACACCATTGAATGTCAAAGGACGTCTCTTATTGGTGATGGTCATAGCCTGGCATTTGTGTGGTGTGAATGTCACTTGCCACTTGTCAGCCCAAGCCTGGATATTGTCCAGATCTTGTTGCATGTGAACATGGACTGCTTCAGTATCTGAGGAGTCACAAATGGTACTGAACATTGTGCAGTTTGAGTTCTGAGGAAGGGTCATTGAGCCATGGTGCTGCACAGCACAGAAACAGACCCTTCGGTCCAACTCGTACATGCCGACTAGATATCTGAAACTAGCCATTTGCCAGCATTTGGGACAAATCCCTCTAAACCCTTCCTATTCATGTACCCATCCAGATGCCTTTTAAATGTTGTAATTGTACCAGCTCCCACCACTTCCTCTGGCAGCTCACTCCATACACGCAGCACCCTCTGCATGAAAAAGTTGTCCCTTACGTCCTTTTTAAATCTTTCTCCTTCACCTTAAACCCATGCCCTCTAGTTTTGGACTCCCCTACCCTGTGGAAAAAGACCTTGGCTATTCACCCTATCCATGCCCCTCATGGTTTTATAAATCTCTGTAAGGTCACCCCTCAGCCTCTGGTCCAGGGAAAGTAGCCCCAGCCTATTCCGCCTCTCCCTATCGCTCAAACCCTCCAACCCTGGCAACATCCTTGTAAATCTCTCCTGCACCCTTTGAAATTTCACAACATCCTTCCCATAGTAGGGTGGCCAGAACTGAACGCAGTATTTCAAAAGTGGCCTAACCAATGTCCTGCACAGCCGCACCCAATTCTTATGCTCAATGCACTGACAAGTAAAGGCAAGCATACCAAACACCTTCTTCTATACCCTGTCTGCCTATGACTCCACTTTCAAGGAACTATGAACCTGCACCCTGAGGTTTCCTCAGTTCGGCAACACTCCCCAGGACCTTACCATTAAGTGTATAAGTCCAGCCCTGATTTGCCTTTCCAAAATGCAGCACCTCACATTTATCTGATCACTCGACCTGAAACGTTAACTCTGATTTCTCTTCACGGATGCTGCCAGACCTGCTGAGCTTTTCCAACAAATTCGATTTTTACAGTATCCGCAGTTCTTTCGATTTTGATCGGGCGCTGTCGCTGTGGGACTGGGTTCAGGGAGCATCTGATCTCACCGAGTTCACACCAGGGAGACGTCGCTGACCTGAAATGACTTTGGGAAGGGAGGTTACAAGTGACTGCAGTATTCGGCTTTTGCTGTTAATCGCATCCGGGACTGAACTATGATCGTTAGGGCTTTTTTTTATCCTTTGCGCTGAGGTTAATTAACTAGCGTAACTAAGATTTTGTACCTTGGTACTTGATACCTAAGATGGAGTCGTGTGGGGTCTCACTGTCCACTTTTCACTGGACTCTTGTACCGTGTACTTGAGTACGCCTGACAATAAAACATAAATCTAAATCTTTTGCCACACTTTCTTCATATCCCTTAACATCGTCGGTATTTGTGGACCTTTGGATTTGGGAGGTTCTGTCAAAATTCCCGTCGTGTTGCCAATGTATGAAGCCCATCTCCATTGCCCCCTCCTGCAACTCGCTGTCTTTCATTCCTGTGTTAGTGTCTTCTGTGCGCTCGGACTAGATGGTACTATCTCTGCCCTTGTGGATGTTGGTGAATCGGCATCTTTTGAGATGATTCTATGAATTTCATATGAAAATAGACAGGGTGGTGGGTGAATGCGCTCCTGAAAGCCTCCAAAATGTTGGAAAAATTCCACTTTGAAGCTGACCGGCGGGAGAAAATATATCCCGTGAGTAGAGAGCATGGAAGGTCTGAGGAGCTGCCTCTCCAAGGGCTCGTTATTCATACGTTCAGCACTGCTGCCTGACGGCGCCAGGGACCCAGGTTCGATTCCACCCTCGGGCCATTGTCTGCCTGTGTGCGGTTTGCACATTCTCCCCCTGTGTCTGTGAGAGTTTCCTCTGGGTGCTTCGGTTTCCTCCTACTGTCCAGGGATGTGCAGGTTAGGGTGGATTGGCCATGCTAATTTGCCCCATAGTACCCAGGGATGTGCAGGTTAGGATGGATTGGCCATGCTAAATTGCCCCATAGCATCCAGGGATGTGCAGGCTAGGGTGGGTTAGCCGTGGGAAATTACCCATAGTGCCCAGGGATGTGCGGGTTAGCCATGGGAAATTACCCATAGTGCCCAGGGTTGTGCAGGCCAGGGTGGATTAGCCATGGGAAATTACCCATAGTGCTCAGGGATGTGCAGGCTAGGGTGGGAAACGTGGGGTTACAGGGATGGGGTAGGTAGGTAGGGTGGGGTGGGGAGGTGGGTGGTGGCTCTGGCTGGGATGCTGTCCGGTCAGTGTGGACCCGACGGGTTTAATGGCCTGCTTCCACACCGCAGGGACTGAGTTTGCGGCATCACAGTGGGACTGAAAAAAAAGAAGCTGTGGAAGCCTCAGCAGGAAATCTACAATTGATTCGACTCCCTGATTCCACCCACCACCCACCCCACCCCCCACCCCACCATCGCCTTGACAGTTCTTGCTTTGTTCATTGGGTCAGTTCTTCACCCCTCTCTGCCTTTCTCTCCCTCTTTATGGTATCTCATTTTCAGGGACTCTGAAGGGAAGGAGTTGCGGACGGGGTGTGCCAGCTCACCGAGGCCCGCTGCCCGTGGCGGTGCCAAGCCATGGAAATGCCCGGACTGCGGGAAAGGCTTCAAGGCGCCTTCCGAGCTGGAGAGGCACCGGCACGGGCACACCGGCGAGCGGCCGTACGCTTGTGCTTCGTGCGGCAAAGCCTTTGCCGTCTCCTCTTCGCTCCGGAAGCACCAGCGGGTCCACAGCGACCGGAGAGACTTCGCTTGCCCCGAGTGCGGCGGACGCTTCAAGAGCTCGGACGTGCTGAGGCAACACCAGAGCATTCACACCGGCGAGACGCCTTATGGTTGCCCGGCGTGCCTCAAGGCTTTCCGCACGGCGTCCCAGCTGCGGACGCACCGGAGGGTCCACTCGGACGAGAGGCCTTACCCGTGCCCGGATTGTGACAAGCGTTACAAGAGACCTGAGGAGCTCCGGCGCCACCGGCGCTCCCACACCGGTGAGAGGCCTTACCCGTGCGGCCAGTGCGGGGCTAGCTTCCGCCGCTCCGCCGACCTGCTCCAACACCAGCGGACCCACACTGGCGAGCGGCCGTACGTCTGCACCGAGTGCGGCAAGGCCTTCGCTCAGGCCTCGCACCTGAGGAGCCACCGGCGGGTCCACACCCAGGAGAGACCCTTCCCGTGCCCGGTTTGCTCCAAGCGCTTCAAGAGCTCGCAGGAGCTGACCTGCCACCGGCGGGTCCACACCGACCTCCGGCCTTACCGGTGCACCGAGTGCGGGGCCGGCTTCAGGCAGTCGGGTGACCTGGCCCGGCACCGGCGCACCCACACCGGGGAGAGGCCGTTCGCCTGCCCCACGTGCGAGAGAAGCTTCACTTTCTTGGCCAATTACATGAGGCATCGGCAGCTTCACCCGTAGGTTCGTTCCAGTACGCATCTCCCCTTCCCCCTGGTTCCTACC